GGGTGCTGGTGGAAAATGGGGGGTTAGATATTTTTGTGCATGAAAAAAGGGGGGGGGGCAAAAATTTTTGTGCAATATAAATACCTGCCACACATGACCCCGCCCTACCATAAAACCAACAGATAAAAAATAGAGAGCAGTAGAACTGTAATAAACTCCAACACAACACCATTTACTAAACTGATTTCAACATAAACATGTACATTTGAACAGCTGTGGACTCAACAAATGGTAAAGAATATACTGTATAAATTACGGTACATGTATACAGGGCATAGTTGCCAACTCTCACGAATTCACCATCAGCATCACATATTCTACTAAAACCTCGCGGTGAGCTCACAGCTTGGTAATTTTGGTAATTCGTAAATATGTTGCCTTTGTTGCATATTTTAAATTATAACTATTAAGAGTGCATGACTTCATTTACGTCAAATATTACATAAAACCTAAAGTTTTCTTCTGAAGAAATTAGATAATCAAAACATCATTTCATGCAACCTCGTGCTCGTGGATATTCAACAATATGGTTTTGTATATCTAAATAAAAGCTACCAAAACTTGTGTGTATAAGGTATAGAAGACTCTGAAAATGCCATTTCCAACGATCTAGAGACTCCATTGTTATAATGGTATCAGTATATCTGCTTTTGAATGTATTGGATATTGGGATAACGGTACATTTCCATATTAATTGGTCCATCAGTAAGTAAGTACTGGTTTCCACTGTGCACATACAGTACATGATGGATGCTATAATTATCATTGAGGTCAGCTGGTCAATTTTAAGTACATGCAGCTTGCTGAATCACCTAGAGACGTTGAGTAGGGTAATTAATTAGTACCCTAGCTCATCTGTTAATTATAATTTATCAATATTTTACAGCTAGTATTCATATATAATTGATATTAATGATCATATATGGGTGCATGACTGGTATTAACTACACTCTGTAAATAAATATGAACATGGTAGGTGCATCAGTTGTACAGTACGTCACATAAGAGCAGCTAAATTATATAATCACATGAGTCAGAAGGTTGCTTCAATAAATACTGCCCACACAAAGTTGTGGGACTGGTATAACAGCTAGGCTAGCACAATATCTATCAATAGTTGGCCTTAATAAATATAGTGCATGCAGTTAACACAATACTGGTTAATTACGTCACACTGCATGGTCATGTAGCTTGTATAATTAATTGACACATTTACTGTTAACCAGCTAGTCACTATTTAGGTCTTTGTACCTGCATTATCGCTACGTATGGTACATATGGCATTGCATCAGGTTACAATTTATTCATGAATGATCATGGGAGTGCAGGATTCGACTGTTTAATTATGTATATAGTAAATGTTGTCATGGCAACAACCTGGGTCCCATGAACAGCTGAACATTTATAACTGGGCTGTCAGCAGTGGTTCTGCCCACCACAATGAGGACTCATTCACATGGCAATAAAAAAGTATCAAATATATGTGATAAATATCAAATATGCAGCTAGCTTGTGAATTGTGATTGAATTAATCACCATAATTGTTTCCAGGCATATATAAACGTTTATGTGGTTGTCATGATAACAGAATAGTTACCAGTGGGACTATAGACACATATTTGGAAAATTAAAATTTTCCAAATATATGTGTTTATAGTTCCACTGGTAACTACGGTGTATCACATGATTCTGTTATGACAACCACATGAACGTTCCAAAATGTTTGCTTAGGTGCACTAACTGTACCAAATTTCCTTTAATTTCGTGAATTACCCCTGAGATATTGGACTTTCTTCTTTTTGCTATCATGTTTAATTACGCAAAAGCAGTGGCGTCATAATTAACACAAAATACATATTAATTTCCGATAACTTAGGATCATTCTCCATAATCATTTCCAGATAAAACTTCAACTAGGCTTTGCTTTCCCAGGCCTAGAACAGAATATCTAAAAAAAAGTTTCAGTTAAATGGGGCTCATGTCTGGAATCAAATTCTGGAAGGCATAAGAACTTCGATCAGCATCTAATAATTCGTTTTGTGAAAAGCTTTCTTCCTCGATCTTTTAATTTAGCAATCATCATGCTTAAATTGTATTAGTAATTTTCTTAGATTTCTTTACTAATTTATAGTACTATTACTTAACAAATTCATAACATTTATATAATTTATGAAATCAGTTAAATGAACATACATCATAGGTAATTAATGGGGGGAAGGATTCATTCTATCATAGTAGTACACACCTCTTTTGGAAACCAGCATTTGTTGAAAAGATTAGTGTGTTTTGAAATAACTTAAGGTGACCATCCATTATACGATGACGCACGCGAATAACTTGGATTTGACTCATACTTTCACTATTAAACCCTGTTGAACAACATAATTCAAGTTTTAACCTGATTGAACCAATCAATTGTAAATCGGAACCGTACAGTACTAAGCATTAGTTTGTAATAATTATCAGATCAAGAGATCTTCAACAATGAAAACATTCGATTGAAAAATTTGTAGCCGATCCGACACGCCTCTCACTGAATTTCCTGTTTCATTGATATTATCTATGTCCATGGCCTGGCTACCGCGGTTCATTTTCCTCGTCTACTTATACCCGTTTTATCCTAGAAATCAGCAAAGCGAGAAAACTACAGCAAACCTCTGGAAACGATGTTACCCACTAATTTGCATGACTTTCATCTATAGGGATAGGGAGTGGAACAAGCACGCTGGAAAACTGCATTACCATGGCTTCTTCTCGTGTTCGTCTACAGCAATGGAAAAATTGCCAGCATTTGATTATCGATGAAATATCCATGATTGATTCCGAGTTGTTCGACAAGATAGAAGCTGTTGCTCGCGCCGTACGCAAGAGCGAAAGTCCTTTTGGTGGAATCCAACTTATTGTTTGTGGAGATTTTCTCCAGCTACCACCAGTGATCAAACAGGGTGAAAACAAAAAGTTCTGTTTTCAGGTAAGAGTGACATGTCTCTAAACGGCGTTGTTGCATGAAAAATTGAAATTTGAATCCTGGCGCGCAGTTAATTGGAAGAAATTATTTCGCTGACCTCAGAATGACATTTCGTCAAAACCTTTTTCCTCAAGATTGCATGGTTTAGAAACAAACTTGGAGTAGGGTTAGGTTATAATTAGGGTTATATATATAGGGTTAGGGTTAGAGTCGGTGTTTGGAATATGGTTAGTGTTAGTAAAACCGTTGCTTTGTTACGTTTTGTCACTCTGAGGCCAGCGAAATAACCTCTTCCCTGTTATTACCTCTTCCCAGTTATGGGAAGGTTATTAGTTATGAGGTTATTAGTTATAACCTCTTCCCAGTTATGGGCGCTAAGACCTGGAATCCGCATCTAAACGATAAATTGTAAATATTATAATTCTATTCCAATCTTCTCTTACTTGTAAATATTACACAACCCTATGAAAATCAATGTCTCAATTGATAGGTTACCGTGTATAAATATAATTAAATACAATACTTTTATTCTTGAGTTTAGCACATGAACGAACATAGACTTTATTCAAAGCTCACTGTTAAATCATGGGGGAAAATAACATCTTAGTAAGATCTTGGAAAAATCTTGGTAAAGTCTTGGAAGGTCATGGCAAGATTTTGCGATAGGATCATGTAATATTCATGCCAAGATCTTGCTTCAATCAGTATTACCAGTATGTTGGCAATATATTAAAATCATAGCAAGATCTTGATACAATCTCGGCAGAATCTATAAAGCAAGATTTTGGTAAATCTTGGTAACATCTTTGCAAGATTATGACAAGATCATGATTGGTGGAATGTTTGCAAGATCGCGTCAAGATCATGGCATGATCTTGCCACAACTATAAAAAAAGGTCATGATACATGTACAATCATGGCAAGTTCTAGGTGAAATCTTGGCAAGATCACAGCAAGATCATGGCAGGATCTTGCCAAGAGTGGAACAAGATCATAGCACAATCATGACAAGCTCTTGGTGAAATCCTGGCAAGATCTTGCCAAGAGTGTAACAAGATTATGGTACAATCATTGCAGGATATCGTTTTTACGAAATGCTGCCAAGTTCTTGGAAGATCATGGCAACTTCTTGAGAAACATGTATTAAAATTTCCTTTTTACAATGTTGCACGATCTTGGCAAGAAAATACGAAAATGACAAGGTCTTGCCAAGAATAATTCTTGATAAGATCTTGGTAAGATCTTACAAGAGCCTGCGAGATCTTACAAGAGCTTGCAAGATCTTGTAAGATCTGCTATAAGATCTTGTAAGATCTGCTATAAGACTTGCATAAGATCTGCTATAAGATCTTGCCAAGATGTAAATTCAACCTGGCGATGCATGTAAATTATAACCATGCAGGGAATCCATTGAAGTTTAAAAGCGCCAATATCTCGTCGATATATACTAACTCGGTTTACCTTCATATTTTAACACGCCATAATCATACTCGTTAACCTTGCAGCTGAATGCTGACGCATTTCTTAGTAGTTTTTTTCTTGGGCCCAATTGGCCATGTAAAAATAAACTCCGGTTTATCATCAGTATAGCAGAAAGTTGAAACTCATTATTATTATTATATAGGCAGAAAGTTGGTCGACATGCATACACAAAACGATAGAATTGATTGAAGTCAAAAGACAATCTGATCCTCTTTTTATCAATATTCTTAATAACATTAGAGTCGGGAGGTATGTATAACATAGTAATCGTCATTGACAATTTTCAATAAAACAGTCAATCTTATTACGTTACGGATATTTATACGTTAATTTTGGTAACACCTGGCACCTGCACCATGAGGAAAGACACACTTTTATTCCTTGTGAAATTTTTCTGTGTGAGTGGCTCGTATGTCAAGGAACCAACATTAAAACTTGAAAGACATTTTGCAATGAAATACTAGTTTGTTGTATACTGTAGTTACCGTTCTTGCATGCGTGTTTTGTTTTGTATAATCCTGTAGTAGTGCAGTATATATTATTGACTTGGCGTTAAATGGATGGACCTATAATATTACTAATAATGGATGTCAGTCCTGTTGCCTGAATCTATCAATCATATCTATTTTATTATGTTAGTGTAATATGAAGTTAATAATAAAATGATTATATGGAATATGCAGGATGGCAGTGGTGGATCCAGCAAAGTTTGCTTTCGCCAAAGGTGCTAACCAATGGCGAAACGAGCGCCGAAGGCGCGAGATTTCTAGGGTGGTCCGGGGGCATACTCCCCCGGAAAATTTTTAAAATTTGGGTCTCTGAAATGGCATTTCCAGCATTCTGAGAAAACATTCTGGAAAATTTTTAGATTCTCAAAACATTTAAATATATTTAATATTGGCTATTCCGCTATTGTCAACTAGTGATACGCAACTGAATTCCTTAACATAAGTTGGTTATAGAATTAGTATAAACGTCATTTTTGCACCCCCCCATGCACCTGTTGACCAGAGCCGGGGGAGGTGCACCCCAAATCCACCACTGCAGGATGGCATAGAGGGGTACGTATATCATAATAAAGTAGGAGAGGAGGGATCGAGAAACGTCCTGTTCAGTCATTTCATGATGTATAGATTCGATCAAGCATCATTCTTACGATTTTCAGATGCTCAGACGACATTGTTGAGAAGCTGAACAAAACCAAAGAAAATAAGATAGATTCTTGTGGTATTCTAGCAACTAGGTTATGTACTCACAAGGACAACGTAGAGCAGATTAACAAAGTACAATTGCAGAGTTTACCTGGAAAGTCAATGTTATTCCAAGCAATCGACAGTGATCACAATTTTACCAAGACTCTAGACTCGTGTTGTCCGGTGAAGGCAAGACTTGAGTTGAAGGTTGGCGCTCAGGTGAGTCTTAATAATAATAATAATAATAATAATAATAATAATTATAACACTTTATTTAACGAGGATTTACAGATAAAGCTATAGTTAGTACAGCTTGTTTCCAATCTGGTCCTCTTATTAAAGTTCTAGAAATATATTACATCACGTGATTACGATACTCATGCAGTTAACATTCTTTAGAAACGTAGGATATACAGTCACGGATGCGTCACAAACACACAATATACACAGATACATCACAATCACACAAGATTAACAATCTATAACTATCAACAGTATTAAAGTTTTTATATTAATAGTCTATTTATTTTTATATTATTATTATTTTTATATTATTAGTCTTCAGTATAGGTACAGTATACCATTTCACATTTGCAGCCGATAATATATTAAGTTATATTTCAACATTGCAAAACATGTTCCCATGCAGGAACAGCATCTTGTTCTTTAGAATATGTTATACTGTAACATTGCTGTGTTTGATTGAATCGTATTCGTTGCCATCAGCATGCAGGTATTAAATTGATCGGCTTCTGCATGGGTAATCGGGCGAGAAAATTCTCGATCTTAGCCCTCTATATGCATGCTTTCACAATATAAGGGACGGACCATTTGATTTTTCGGGGGGCATTTTTGAGAGTGCTCGAATTTTTTTTTGGACCTCACCGACTCCGCACGATTATTTTTTATCGAATATTGCGCGTGCACGATATTTTTTTAAATTAATTAATTTTTTAATATGGCGTTAATACAATAATACCTGCATTCAGTATTTTTATAAAACCATCATTCACGTATGGTTATATTCCGGCTGAAGAATGTATTTGAATATACAGAATATAAGTCTACGAAACGTAGACCATAGCCCCGATCAAAATTGGATCAAGTGTAACCTATTTACTGGCAGGCAGTACTCTACCACTGACAAGTAAGAATCGGCTGGCATCAGACAGAGGAAATACCAAAGTAGGGCGCGTTTTGGCACACTGCCACTCTCCTCCGCAGAGTCTGAATTATATAGGATTTGTAGGGATAATATAGGGATAGTAGAGGACATTTAGTGGTGCGCCACGGGGGGTGAGATCGATGGTTGACAAAATGTAGCTTCCGTCTTCCCATCATACCTAGCGCGTTTAACTAACAATTACGTAATTTGTTTCCCAAGTAATATTACGTAATTTTACTAAAAATTCGTAAGGCTCTGCGGAGGAGAGTGGCACACTACCAGTTAATGAGTCAACAGCGCTCTGAAACTTATATTTAAAATGTGATTTAATCTCAAATTTTTCAAGTGGAGCACAAAAACGTGGACATGCACTCACCACTACATCAACCTTTCGCATACATACTAGCAGCTTGAAGGAACATATCCAGACGGGATTGCTTTTTTCCCTTTCTGTAAGCCAGAGCCCAGCGAGGAACGTTCCCAAATACTGGGACGGCAACGCAACGGGCTGATTGCGAATTGTCATTAAAAATCGTTGTAGACATTTAAATATATACTTTATACAGAGACTTTATAGGTATAGTTAATATTTTTAAGGTTAATGTTTATAAATGTTTTGTTCAAGAACATAAAAACTATAACTGTCTTAATATAAAAAACTGTTTCTGCAGTTAATATGTTCCATATACTTTATGTACTGGGAAAGAAAACATACCATATTATAAATAAATTATTCAAATGTACTGTCATTTTTTTAAAATCAACTCTACCATTAATATTTGCATTGGCATAATGGCATCTATATTCAAATTCTCACGGTTCCCAATCATATCTGTGTTCCCAATACGTACAGGGGCGCGTAGGAACCGGGGTGCCAAGTCACCCAAGTTTTCAGAAGACACAAAATGTGCCTTTTTTCCGGTGGCAAAGTACCCTTTGCTTTCGTGAAAAATATTGTTCAGATTGCATTTTTGACTCACGGATGTTGCAAAGCAACAACGTCCAGAATTCAGAACCAGAAATAGGGCTGGAGCATTTTTCTTTCAATATAGAGTATTGCTAATTTAGAAATTTTTTGTCCTCGATATTTTTTTGATGGTGTTGATGTTCGATTGTTTTTCTTCAATTCGAGACATGCTCGATATTTTTTTTCGGGTTTGCGCCCCCCATGAAAAATCAAATGGTCCGTCCCTAATATTTTTGTTTCGTTCCCCGCAGGAACGAAACGGTACTGTATTTGGTTTCGAGCAATTATCACAGGAAAGTGACGTCAGAAATCAAAGTTATCCAATCCTTTGCCAGTATTCTTGCTCAAACGTCAATTACATTTAGAATCGTCCAATGAGATGACCGCTCCTAGCATAAGAAGTTTTTTGGAGGCGTGGCGTATAATCGGAAATCTTAGTTAATTATATATCAACCTATGAGAACATGCTAACTTAACCTGAAGTTCAGGCCCTAATTTTAAATAGGGCCTGACACAAAACCTGTCTAGACCGTGGGACGCTCACATGTTATTTTTAGACACAGCATGCAATATAATTGACAAGTGTTATAGATTTCGTTACACAAAAAATTTATATTCTCATGAACATGTCCGCAGAGTGTGCATTTTGCTTTTTAATTAAACTTAAAAATTCAAGGTACTTTTATATAATTAAGAGTCATTTTCTCTATTTAACCGAACAGCAAACGAAGATTCAATTAGTCAGTTCTGTGTACAGCTTGACTGCCAAGCTTTCTCAAGGTCTCAACTTGCTGGACGCGGATATATACCAGGGATATACTTTAACGGGCTAACAACAGCAACAATAAAATTCTCAATCGTACCACGAAGAAGCCGATGTAGCTCAGAAAACAACGCCGGTAGGACCTGATATTAAAAATAAGACTTTTCCCGGCGAAGCCAGTTGGCAGAACATCTTGGCTGTCAACAACAAACTTTCGAATAGATGACTAGTTTAGTTTGGCTGTTCTTTCAGCGTCGTGTGTCCAAAATTCGTCAAAGATTTTGATAAAGACCTTCAAAATACTATTTGTTAGATTTATTTTCTGCCATAAAGCATATTAAAAGAAAAGAAATTCGAAGAAATCGATAATGGTTTGTTACGTGCGTTTGACCTTTATTTTATTATTGTCCCCTTGAGCCCTTGACCGAGCTATTTTTAAAACTGTTGTTTATGTGAACTTGCAACCAATCAAAATCTTAGGGCCTGAACTTCAGGTCAAAATCTACAGGCACGATGATTTATATTTGAAGTATTCAAGCGCCAACAGCGGTATATATATATTTATTATATAGTTTTCTTTTTTTCTCTTCATTTTAAATACTACTACTGTATTTCTGGACCGCTCGGCCCGTCCAGGTATAATGAAAATTTATAGAACCCGCCCGCCTCACAAAATGAACCGATTTCATTGCTCGACATATACAAGTGATCTATGGTTACAACCGCTAATTATAGACGTCTGGTATATTGGAACGAAACATTATTTCTTTTTTAAAGAAATATTTTCTTGTTGTTTATAGATTCAATCAAACTATTATTAATTATCAAAATATTCAATTGACTATGAATATTTTACCATTCCAGGTGCTGTTAACGAAAAATTTGGATGTAGGCCAAGGCTTAGTAAATGGTGCTCGTGGTGTGGTTAAAAACTTTTCTTCCGGAAATACAGGTAGCTAACACATATGTTATGCGTGATGTGCCGAATATTTTCGAGTTCAAACCACAAACTTGTATTTCTGTATTTTTTTAGTTGTCCCAATCGTGAAGTTCTCTAACGGTATCGAGCGACCAGTGAAAGCGGAAAAGTGGGTGATTAGAACGGGAACTGGTGGTCAAGTAACAAGAACACAACTACCTCTGCAGTTAGCCTGGGCTATATCTATTCATAAAAGTCAGGTAGTAAAATAACCACATTGGATCTGCTAATTATAGTCTGCCAACTTCGTTCAAGTTTGAATAAAGTGGGCGCTTAAAGGCACAGTTCAGCCTTTTGAATGATGGTTTTTAAGGCACATTTCAGTCCTTTTAATTGAAAAACTAACTAGGAAAATCAATTAAGCATAATTCAAGATCAGCAAACTTAATGTTTTTAACATTTTAAAACATTTTTATTGTTAAAAACATTGAGTTTACTAATCCTGAATTATGCCTAATTGATTTTCCTTGTCAGTTTTTCATTTAAAATGGCTGAAATGGGCTGTTTATATGGAAGCGAGCCAGCCCGGGTACCCGAGCTGGCTCGCTTCCCCGAGATGAATTTCACCACGCGTTTACATGAAACTTACATGAAGGGCTGGCTCTTCGTGTTCTAATTTTTTTTTGCGTAAACAACTCCATATATGGAAGTTGGTTCCTTATATGGGAGTTGTTTGTGCATTCTGAAATATTCTAATTATTTGAGCATGCGTATTTGCTAAATTTCCAGTCCTACTAGGAGGGCTAGCCCTCCCTGTTGCGTTTATATGGAAAACTACCCAGCCCGTTTACCCGAGGTCTCGGGTCACACGAAGCGGGACCTCGGTTAGGCGGGCCAGCTCGGTTCTCATATAAACGCAACATGAAATTTAGTAGGAAATATTAACAAAGACGGGATCCCGCCTAAAGCGAGCTAGCTCGCCTCATATAAACAGCCCCTAACTCTGCAGTATGGCGTGTAACCTTGTTGCCATATTTATTTTCTGACTTCAGGCTTCAATAAATTTCTACTCTAATACCTGACAGAGATGGGGGCCATATGTATGAACAATTTTAAAATTAAATTTACTGAATGATTTTGAAGTTTTCTAGATTATTGAAAAGAACTTTATGGGTACAAGAAATGGGGCGAAAACAGTTGAATTAAGCAAGATGCAAGTAACAATGAACCAGATCGGGTCACTGGATGGTATTTCAGCACACTGGTGGACATGCAACCTAATACCTGCAACCTGTGTCACATTTATATATATAGTTTTACACTGTACTGGAAAAATGTCAAGGAACTTGTAGAGATTCAGAATGCACACTTCATGGTTTATTCAATCACCAGCATGCATGAATCATTTTATGTTATGAATATTTTTTAAAAATTATTCTCACTTAGATAAAATTATATCAATTTTTAATATCATAAATGAATATATAGATTATAGTAGCTTTTGATTAAACAAGTTATAATAATATATCAGCAAATAATGACTGGTCTCTCTGAAATCCATGTAGATACTTCCACTACCACTACTTGATCTGGCAGTTGCATCCGATTGTTTGATTGGATAAATGAAACTTATCTGGTTAGAACTTTAATGATAGCAATAGCAGCAGTGGAAGTAAAATCTGATCTCTCTATTATTTTTTGAAGATTTGCTCTAGTCACATCAATTCAGGGTTGCCCATGCAACTTGGTTAGCACAGCTAGCTCTTCAAGTTGGAGGTCCAATTCTTAGGATTCTGCAAATTAATTCTAGAAAACTGGCTTTGGTTTGGGCTAAGCAAAAATCATCACACTGTTTATCATGCTGATTTGGTTGTTTAACAGTTAAAGTCCAGGTTGCATGTTTTTTTATCCTGCATATATGGCAGATGGGCCAGTCTGGTTTCCAAGTGTTTATGTGGGGAATTAATATTAATCAGGACTGGCTTCTGAGTGAAGGTCTTGCCTGCTTTATGTGAGAGCAGGCTCTATGCAAGATTCCAATTGCTACACAGCATGATCTCAGGGCTCTTCCTCTGAAACAATGCTTGGTTGCAATATCATCCAGCAAGTGCAAAAATGTACTACCACAGTCAAGGATCATTTGGCATGTTCATCGACTATGTTAACCCATTGAGTGGCACTATGCACTCTCCACCTGATGAGTAAAATTGTCTGGTGTTAGACAGAGTAAACTAACAAAGTAGGGTGCATCTGGGTGCATTGGGCCATTCCATTCAATGTACACACCCCTATGGACGATGTACACACACCCCTAAGAAAAAAGATCAAAGTGCCGACACCAACACACACATCCCAGAAATTAAGAAATTTTTGCCTTATCCCTCAGAAAAAAATGCAAAGATCAAAAGAGGCACCGATGCACACAACCCCTCAGAAACGGCTTTTTCAACCCCCTCAGAAATTCTAGTCCATGGGGGGGGGATATGCCACTTAAAGGGTTAAAAACGTAAATACCACAGCACAACACTTATATACATATATACATATACAAGTAATACAACAGCAATCCTTTTATATATTTAATAGTCATATTTACATATTGGTGAAATATCAATGTCCATATATTAGGGATGTCCATGAACTTGCCCCTAGTTTGTTTGAAGCTAATGTATTCATATATTTTGTATAAGTTGTCCCTCTACAAACCAACTTTTAGTCATTATACAAGAGTTGAATTTGCATTCATTTGCTTCGCAAGTCGCAACAAACTGAACAAAGTACTAAACCATAAACCTGTGCAATGATCGAGCGTCTTTAGCGACATATCCAAGTCTTTTAAACGTCTCATACGAACAAATCTCCCTGAGTTTTTTCTACAGAAAGTATTGATCCATTTGATCGATCGCCGTACTTTGAGAAAAGCTTGAAATGCAAAATTCACATGGAAGATTGAAGAATTTCGGAGATAAAAACTGTTTGTCTTCGAGTTTCACCTATTTACCCCCCGGTTGAGAAAAGTAACAATTACGTAATGTTGGAGTCACGTGACCAGCGTTTACCAGGGCTACGTCGCCGCCTTCAATTCGCGACTAGCCCTGGGTACGAGGTTGCACTACCTCCTGCCAGACCTAACTGGCAGAACTAACAATGACTTTTCTTTATAATTTTGTGGGAATGTGTTATATTTACTCTGTACAAACAGCCAAAAAATAACGCAGAGCTCTAGTTTTAATAATACTGTATTACATGTTTTAAAATTATTCACTGCATGGTCAAAGAATAATTATGAAATTAGCAAGTTTAAAATAAATAATATACAAAATCAAGCAAATTTTTGTCTTTAATTAATTTTGAAACATTACAATACATGTTTCTTGGTAAGGAGTTTTACTAACAACAGTGGCATGAACTCTAGCCTACTCATCACTCGATTCCTTGGGTGAGATGCATGCGGGGAACCCATTTTCAGGCTATAACCCATAGAGAGGCCTGCGGAGGTGGCTCAGTGAGAATAGATTATAGCCATAGGGGCTATCAATATGGAAGCCAGGTTGACCTGGTTGGAAGAATAATTTATTATTTCTGTGTCGACACAATTGTATTGTTTTGAAAATATTTTCATGACCAATGTTGTTTTGACTTTATTTTGACCAAGTCAGTCCAGTTAGTGTTTATAGCCATAAAATATTTTCCCGGTGTAACTGAGAGCTTGCCTTGTTCAGGTGAGATCTGAAAACTGAGCCAGTCAGGTTGTCCATACAATTTGAAAGGAATTTCCACTATAAAAATAACCACACAGTGAGGTCTTGCTTACTGGCCTAGCTGTTGCATTAACAACCCTTACCTCAGGCACACGAGAATTCAGAAATATGCCAGCACTTAAGTCAATTAACCCAATACTCATAGGGATGGGACAAACAAGTTAATGCATGGCCTTTTAAAGATACATACAACAAAAGATACATACAACAAACTATCAGAGAGCACACAATATAAAAACTTGGGCAAAACATGCATTCTCAGATCAGCTAAGCTTTGTCCTGCACCAGTTCACCACAAGCTTATGCATGACAAATCCCAGCCTTGGCTAAATCTATATATAAAACCTTATTTCCCTCTTTAATATACCAGCACATCATAGTTTCATGTCAAATATTTGTCAAATTCATATACATGTACAACCATTAATTCCTTGGGATTGAGGGATGAATTTACTATATTTTAAAGTTATAGAAAGGTTCGTCTACAACCACATAAATACTCGTGGCTTGTTTTCTAAAAAATAGAGTACATTCTACCATTTATTCCTAACACTTTTTCATGAAATATTTAAAATAGTAATGTAAATTTTGAAATATTTATAAATACCTGTTTATAGTCTGATAAATACGGATGTTTGCTCTGGCTTGAAGTATCGTTTTTGCCCACATTTCGGCTTTCGCGAGGTTTTAATAGTTGTTTGTTGTATTTCACGCTTTACGGACGAGAATTAACGTGTACGGCTTCCACACCTTTGAACAAATGGTCAACAGTCGAAAAAATATGTCGAAAATATCAAAACAACAAGTATTCACTGCGAAAAGCCGAAATATTTTTATAAAAACAGGGGGGGGAGTGAAGACTGTGGCAGGCTCATAATTGAACCTTGTTCAGTGGCAATTACCATGAATTTAGGGACCAGTAGGCAGTAGTCATGGAAATGGCGTTATTTTCACTCAAAATCCGCCATGTTTTTGCGGACACTTCGTTGACTGAACGAAGTATAGGAGCAGGTCCTCCAGTTATTATACAGCTCAGTGCTTAACACTGAACCTGTGACTGAACGCAGGCTCGCGTTTACGTCAGTGTTGCCATGGCAACACGATAAATTTTGTTATATTTAACTTTTGTTATATTTTTTCTACAACACGCCAAAAATAGTTGAAAGATTATTGCTTTTAACTATATAACAATGAATTTCCGAAATATGTACTGTAGGTATGTTGTTCTGCATTTTGTGAGCTTTGATTTAATGTAAAATTTAACGTGAATCGCTTCGTAAAATGTTTTGAAATGTAATGTTCATTTTAATATTAAACTGTAAACTGCTTTTTCCGATATAAGACTGTACGGGTTTTTATATAAACAAAATAAGTTGAGTAATTTCAGTTCGGTTTTCAAATGAATTTGCTCTCCTTTACATTTTACCTTTTATTCTTAAATTAAACAGGGTAATTTAGCAAACTTTAATACAGCTTCATTGAAAAGCAAAGCAGTGCATGTTTTACGCAACCTCGTTCCCAGGGCTGCAGTGTGAGGACGAG